GTTTCGAGCATCTCTTGTTTGATTATTCTTGAGCCTAATTCCATTTCGAGTGAAAGTGTTTGATGAAGAGATTCGAAGGTCAATTTCACCAGAAGACGATGGCAAATTCCGCTTGACCAGCTATCAATTGGCTTTACTGGAACATTCATGTTGACGCTGTTTCCGAAGGAATCTCCTTCGATTCCGGTGATAAAGTGCTAAGCTTTCTTCCAAAATATGATGAACATCATCAGAGCAAGGTGTCATCATTACAACCACATTCAAGCAAACGAGTCTAGAAAACTCACCGGCACATACCTAAGAAGCTGTATATATAATATATGCCTGACCACTTTGATGAGGTATAAAGTGATTTGGTTAGTTCCAGTCATGTGCCAACCTCGAAGCATGAGCGTGTTTGTCTCTGTATATGAATGTGCCTGTATGTGTTCGCCTATGCACGAAACTCGCAGTGATGGCTCAAAGCAATTAGAATAGCAAAAGTAACGTCCGTTTTCGGCTATCAAGGTCCGATGACCACTATTTCCCCCTTTCTATTTACAAATTATAACCATCACTCTGATTGCGCAAGGTCGGACACACGTCTGGTTTTGTTGATGAGCCTATTTTTTGTTTTATCTTAATGCGAGAAAGAAAGAGGGAGCTAAAAGTACAGAGAAGTAAATATGATAAGAAACATGACAAGAAAAGACTAGTTGAATCGCCTCCATTTTAGAGGCGACTTAACACCTTGAATCTATTAATTAAGCACAAGTAATTTTTACTTATCTTCTTGCCGGAATTCCTTACGTTCAATGTATTCCCCCCTTTTCGGTATATTTCAATGGCATCATTTTTCATTTAGCCGCAGACGCCATAATTAGCAGAACAATAAGTTTGAGACCATACAATCTCGTGTCCAATTGCTGCCTTGTGCTCGGCCGACTTCGATTTTTGAACCCAATAGTCTCTGCATTCGCTTTCGGGCTGAGCCACCCACTTATCGAATAGGACGAAAAGTCTCTCCAACACACATTATTTTATAGCAACCCGATCTGGATAATGGGTCAACTTTCTCTCTAAAAGTGGGAATAACTGAAGAAAGTGTAGTATTTTCACTAAAAAAGGTTTTTATTCCCAATTCCCTTATTTGCTCAACTGTCCTTTTAGAAAAAAAGGGCAAAGACAAAACATGAAAAAAGGTCTCTTTATCTCTTTTTACGTATTCACTATTCAAAAAGCTATTCTTTATTAATTTAATGTTATTTTCAATAAAACCTAGAAGATAATTATTCTCAAAAATATTATTTTAAGCCGATCCACAATGGTCTCTATCGGCTAGGGTTATGTTTCGAATAATCATATATTTTAAAACTCCAAGCTTTGAGTGGAGAAAAAAATTAAGGATAAAACCAACATGCGTTGGCTTTCTATATACATCAATGCTTAATTTCTCTTTCACGAAAGCATCTAAAAATGGTAAATTATAATCCTTCTCCATCTCTATTGTAAACTTAGCATTATAGTCAATCTGGTTAATTAGGAACAAAAAAATCTAATCTATCTTTAATATGAGATGTATTCGTTTAAGGTGACGAAGGACTGGTGGTAGAATTTTATCACAATGACATGAGTAGAGCTGACGTTTTCATTGAATTTCAAATAGCCTTGCTTTCCCAAAATTTCTTCTCATCCAGGGTGGACTGCAGTTTCGACCTCACATCGGTCTTGTCAGCACCCCCAGTGGGAGTCGACCGTGACAGTGCGGAGAGGGAGCTTGACACGTTAAACACTCGGCCGCAATGCCACGAGTGCCCTTGAGTCACAGGGTAAATGTGAATTTCAAGGAAGGCCAGGACTTTTGTTATATTAATGGACAACATTACTTATTCTTCGTATTTTAAACTAGAGTTTCGAGACTACCAGTAAATCAGTAATATTAGATTTATTAATCCAATTTCGTGAATACATCTCATATTACTTATTTACTGGTAGTCTGGAAACGAAAAATAAACTATCCTTACCATGCAAAGTAGTCATCCATATATCTAACTAACAGTTTTAGTGTCAATCTTACCTCTTATATGAAGTGTTCCTCCATTCTTGACTAAAATAAGAGCCAAGCAAGATCCAATTGCTAGGCCTTGCACCTAATTATAAACTTATCGTTTTACTGATTATCTCATGTCTCCGGCTAAACTGAAAATTGGAGAAGCCATCGAAATAAACCGAATAGGGAATACATTGATGTAAGCAAGAAGATAAGTAAAAGTTACTTGTGCTTAATTAATATACTCAATGATATAAAGGGCGTTGAGCCGCCTGCAAAAAGAAGGCGAGTCATCCAGTCTTTTCCAGACGGTTGTCTGACCTTGCTCAATCGGAATGATGGTTATAACATATATGTAGAAATGGGGAGTTTGTGATCATCAAATCTAAATGGCCGAGAACAGACGTTAGTTTTGCTATCATAATTACTTTGAGTCATAACTGCTGGTTTCGTGCATAGACGAACGCATACAGGCACATACACAAACACAAACAGACACATTCACATTATTCGAGGTTGGCATATGACTGGAATTAAAACCAAGTCACCGTATACCTCATCAAAGAAGTCATACATAGAGTATATATACAGCTTTTTAAGTGTGCCAGTGAGTTTTCTGGACTCGTTAGCTTGAATGTGGTTGCAATGATAATACCTTGCTCTGCTGATGTTCGTCATATGACGAACGAAAGCTTAGCACGTTTTCACTGGAATCAAAGGAGATAACTTCGGAAACAGCGTCAACATGAATGTTCCAGTACAGCCAATCGACAACTGGTCAAGAGGAATTCGCCATTGTCTTTTGGTGGAATCGACCTTAGAATCCCTTGGCCAAACACTTTCACTCGAAGTGGAAGTAAGATCAACAATTTGATTCAATAGACAAAATTGGTCCATGAAAGATAATAGAAATAGCTTTTATGGTCGAAATTTTATTTTCTAAGTATGGATATAAATTTAACATTAAAGAGCTTGAGTTGTTTTTAGCGACATCGACCTTTAGAATTCTATACCTAGTGCAAATTTAGTAAGAATGAAAAATTTAAACCTCGAAGATAAGCAGTGGATATTGTGTAAGTCTAAAGAAAAATATTGATCAATAAGTGGAAAGGTGAACTAGATTGCACATACGGTTAAATATATAAATGTTAATAAATAATTAACTCACGAGTTTCGAAACTTCTGACTGAGATGAATGAACATTTTACGAGTTATAGGTGTCGCTTCTGACCCTTTTTGTTCGTTTACTCTGAGTCGCCTGACTGGAATAGACGATTGCGACGATAAAGAATCGGCTGCATTTTCCACCTCTTTCGAGGTCGCAAAGGCCAAAGAATCGTCTAGCATGCGTCTATCAGTCTGTCCATCTGAATGGAGAGCAGCTCGGCGGACGCCAGATAACTGATGAACCAGATCGACAGATAAAATATGATTGGCTAGGATAAAGACTAAATTATCGGCAGAAATAAGCTCTGCTTCCTCCCGAAGGCAACCCAGATTAGTACTGTTGGTGACAGGTGTAGAAGACAAATTGGTCACCTGACGTGAGGTTCTGGTTACCGAAGCTCGTACGATAAGTGCTTCGTTAGTTTCGGCAGGCAGAGGTGGCGATGTGGATGAAAGTGTGGCTTTTTTAGTAATCGAGACAGATCCGATAGATCTGTTGCGCGGAAAAGAAGAACGCTGATGCGGAGAGAAAAATCGTTTCAAAGTATTCCTGCCAGTACGAAGAATAGAGGTGTGCCGCAAAGGGCCATTAGTTGCGAATTTGGCTGGTTTCTGGTAGAAAAGAAGGTAATACCAAGGCAAATAAATATAAAGTCTAGATATATTTCATAGGAAGCCGCTAAAATAATATGATTAAACAATTTTATGGAAATGGTTTGACCTTGTTTTCGCAACTTGATCGTGTTGTCAGGACTAATTAGTCGGATGCACCATGTCCAAAGTAATCTGCTACAATAATTATGATAATTATCAGCGTCAGACCGTGGACTTAAAACATTCCCAAAATTTTCGCAGATATCCTAGTTGGCATCATCAATTAGTCTTGTCATTCACAACACAAAACTACAACGCATCAAAGAGATAAGTGATGTCCATTCTTTGACAAACTGTCTTTACTTATCTCTTTGATAAAGTATAGTTTAATGCTAAGAATGACAAGACTCATTTGCGATGCCAATTATTATACTGACGAAACTTCTGGGAATGTATCGAGTCCGGGGTCCGACGCAGGGACTTGTCATAACTACTATAGCAGAGTACCTCGGATAAGGTGGATCAAACTAGATCACCCTAATAATACGACCAAGTTACGAAAAAGAGTTCAAACCACTCCCATACTGCAAAAGGAGTCTGCGACTAAAACAGAGACAGCAATATCTTGGTCTTCATATCTAAAATAATTTTCTATTTAAGTCTCTAGTTTAAAAGGACTCGCAAAAATAGGTTTCAATGTTATTGAGCCTATCTGCTATTTCAAGTCAATATGATCTACCAAATACTATGGCAGGTCTAACACATCACACCCAATGAAAAAATATTTTACTCTTTGCAATCAATGGAAACCACGAAGATCTTCACTTTAGCACTTAGAGTCTCTGCTTATCCAGTGAATATCTCAACTAGAAACCTTTCTGACCTTCAAGTTTTGCTTGAGTCGATAGCCACAAATAATCACCTTAGATTGCTTGAGGTGAAGGGTAGCTGAAAGATAAAATTTCATCAACGATACGAGTAAAAAGTCTACCGATATGATTAGCCTTGTCTGTAAAAGCACTTTATCATACAGGATGGACTCAAGTTGCGGACGAGAAATCACAATAGTGTCCAAAACCGAGTCATGGAGTCAAGCGGCCGTGTTATCACTAGATAACACTGAATAGAGCGCAGGGCAATTGCACATTAAAGTAAAGCGAACTACCACACTAGATAAGAAGAACCCTATGGAGGAAAAGCAAAGTGGAATTCACTGGAATAGTTAGGTAATCTACTCATTTATGTCAGAAATACAAAAATCAGTGAATGGTTAATCACATATTAAAGATGTACTAATAGTTTATAAGCCTGATCAATCGGAATAAAAATGGGTCAATCATTATTAGTGATCAGATCAGTTGAGAAGCTAAGCAGGGATGTCTATAGAAAGCCAACACATGCTGGCTTTATACTTAATTTTTTCTCCAAT